GGTTTCCTATTAACTAAGATGTATATAATGTAAATTTTTTCCTCATATGTGTGTGGTTGCATTCATATGGCTGAATTATTGGTTTGAATGCTGGCTTGGATCTGTTGAATATGCTGCTTTGTATAAGGTTTCCTAATTGCAGGGGGTCTGCTGGCAAAGCAGAACCCGTATTAAAAAAAAGATTTCCATAATACTTGAAGGTTATTACCTACAGTATTGTTTCAATACTTAATGGTTTTAATGGTAACCATCCAATATTGAGGAGAAATAGTTAACGGTTTTTCTTAAAACCATCAAGTGTTCAAGTAATACTTGACGGTTCTTCATTTAAAGCCGTTAAATATTATCAAAATATTTAACAGTTAATAACCTTCAAATATCTGTCATCAAAATATATGACCCAAAATAACCGTATTTCTCATTCTGTAGTAGTGTTGCAAGCATGAAAACATGTCATTTTAATGCCAAGCATGTCATCTACCAAGCAATTGTCTTGTATACGTATGGGTAATTGTTTGCTACTAAGATTCTCCTGAATCTCACCCTCCCTTAACCGACCCTAATAGGTGTTAATGAGCAAGTAAGAGGATGCATGCAGTGGAAGTAAGGAAAAGAGAAAAAGAATTAAGAAAATGTATTGTATTACATTGTGTAATTTGTATTCCAATGTATGATATAAATGTGCCACTAATGTTATATGATAATAAATGATGATATGTAAGACTGAATATGGTGATGTATGGAAATAGTTAGTGCATTGATGGAATGGAAATATGCATGAAAAGATCAAATCAAACTCTTTATCTATATATATATACAGGGTCAACTCTTCTGCTGTGTAAATGTGGAAGATTTAAGAGTATTATAGAAGCTGTTTTCATCTCACTGGGTATGGTTTATTCATCGCCTTCTCTATTCCACTAAGATTCATCAATAAATCATAGGAAAAACGGGCAGTTGGAGGGGCTGCTTGCGAACACCCATGATGAACAAGGTGCTGTTTATGTTGAGCAATTCTTGGAAGAACCCTGTGCTTTAAAAATCCTCACTAAGTACTAGGAGATTCATGGCAAAGATAAAGCTTAACTATGAAATGGAGGAATTAGTGCAGAGAGTGAATTAATGGTACTCTATGATTATAATAATGCGGATTCAATTTAATTATTGCAGTTAAGATTGAGGATCAATTTTCACTTATAATAGAATTATGCCAAAATACATCAGGATTACAAGTTTTCACTTATAATCTGCCACTATCAGTTGCTGGTGAATCTCAATTGAATAGAAAAGGCGATGAGTGAACCATACCCAGTGAGATGAAAGCAGCTTCTATAATACTCTCAGATCTTTCACATTTACATAGTTGAAGAGTCGACCCTGTCAAAATTATCCACCTCCAATAACATCAGCTCTCTCTAACGACCGTTTATTCCCTTTGAACAGTTTTGACGGATAAGGATTAACGGCCATGACGATACAAACTTAAAGGAGTTAATAAAAAGGAAACAAACCTTGGGAACCTAATTCAAAATGAGAGTAAACCATAAGGACCTCCAAATTAGTTTTTGCATAATAATATTTTTACAATATCTTTAGTATTTTTCTTCAAGAAAACTATAATTATTGACTTGTTCAAGTTTATTATTTATTTTTATGTTCTTAGAATAAGTTTTTGAAAAGAATAAAAAAAGTCTATCCAAATTATTAACAATACTACTACAAAATATATCATATTTATGCTCAATATTTAACTATTATAGAGATAAACATCAAATAAGATAAGACGGAGTTTAGAAAAACAAATATTTGACAATTATTATACTAATTGTCAAATACATTATAAAGATATTTGACAGTTAAATATAAAAACCATGGAATAATATTTCTATTTTTTATTTTGTAAAAATTAGAAATTTATTTGACGGTTTCTTTCCAAGAATCATTAAGTAAAATAAGGAATACTTGACTGTTTTTAATAATTAATTGTCAAATATAAGTTTGTACTTGATATTTTATATCTTGATCGGTCCAAGCTTTTCTTTTCATGAATCCCTAGTGTGCTCTTCTTTCTCCTCACCTCCTTCTCCTTGCTCATTAAGATCCAACCTCTGCCTCCCTTCTTCTTCCCTTTCCATCCCTCCTCGTCTAGTAACTCATTCCTTCTCTTCTACCTTTGGCATTCACTCTGTTGTCATCTTCAAGTGAGAAGTTCATATTTGAAGACTCCTAACTATCAAACCTATGCTTCCTCCTTTAAACATAAATTTTTGAGATCTAGTTCTGTTAGGTTTGGAAGAAGGAGCTTCGCCTTCGATTTCGATCAACTGCGAAGAGCAACCCATTGATTTCGTCTCATAACAATGCTTGTGCCTATAAGTTTATTTCTTTTTATATTTTTTTGTTTGTTGATTTTAGCTTTCAGATCCAGGATTGCTTATGCTCTTAAATAACTTTGTTGATTAAGTTTCTATTACTCATTAAACAATTGTTTTTTAATTTTTATTTTTAAACATGCTTAGGATTGAATCCTTTGTACAATTTTTTTTTAGTTACTTGGGCTTGTTTAGTGTATGTATTGATTGTTTGCTTAATATATTGATTATCTATGCTTGGAGTCTATGATTACACAAAAAGGAACCATATGCTTTTGATACTCCTTGCTTGAATGGTAGAGGTCCCTGTAAGGATCATTCTTGGTCCTATTTGCAACAAATTTCAAAACTTTCCTATTTATCTACCAGTTCTCGCTAACATTATGGTATTTTATCTGTGCATCTCTCTCAGTTCTCTGGATCTTTTTGTTCTAATTCTTGGATAAAATAATCAAGGAGGCTCAGACTAAATGTTTTGTGATCTTTGCTTCCTAATCATTCATAATCTACACTTTTTTAGATACAAACTTATGCTTTGTTAGTTTGAAGAGCAGGAAATCAAGATAAAAACTTATTAATATAATTTCAAGATGCATTTCTTTTAAAATTGTAATGTAGTATGATTGGTTGCATTGTAACATGCATTATGCTATATTATATTTCTGAAGTTCATATGAAGTATTATCCTTTACTGGAACATAACTTACTTGCAAGTGACACCTATGAACTATACTATTCAGATTCTGTTGAGATGTAAGGATCATGGTATGACTTCTTGTGATGAATATTTTTTTGCTTCATTTGTTACAATAATGATACTTAGAATCTTGTAACTTATTCCAAATAATTATGAAAATGTAGATAACTGATTCCACCATGCCTAAAATTAGACTTGTTGTAGTACTGATAGCGCTTGTCTTTTGTGTATAAACAAAATATTGGTGATCAAGTGAGACGGCCCCCCAAAACACCATGCGTCTCTTATTGTGTTTTATGTGTATTTGTGGACCGTGAAGAATGATGTAGCTAATTTTCCTGGTATTGCTCATCTTCCATGTCTCTATCTTCATCAGTCATCAATTCATCATATTTGATTTCATGAATATCACCATTAACATGTGCCCTTATAATGTTATAAACGCAAGTTGTTCTAATCAGAAATAGAAATTAAAACATAAAATTCAGAGGCAAATAGAAGAAAGAGAAAATTCAAATAATGCTAAATAATAATCTCCCCTTGATCATTATAGACTCTGCTTATAATTGAAAATTAGTTATCTATGGGTGAAAATACCAAATAAATATTGAGAAACATGCTAGTACTGATAGCACTTGTTGTAGTCTTGGTGTTGTGTTTGATGTTAGCATTTTGGTCTCATTGCTTTGGCATTGTCAGTTTGTTTTCATACTTTGTTTTGTTGCTTTGTTCTGCATTGTATTGCCCTATCTATTAATAATGCAAGTATGTATCTAGGCAAAAATAAAAATAAATAATGAAATTGAAAAAATGATAGTTAAGTTTAGAAAAAAGAACAATTTAAATCCAGTACAACAGAATTTGCTTTTCAAGTATTGCATTCAACTTATTGTTATATTTCTTTTCTCATGCAACCAATTTACCTTTTTTAGGCATTTTATGGCAACAGAAGCTAAATTTCTTTAAGGACATTACATTCACTACTTTTATTTTGAATATTGCAGCTATGTGTGCATATGCAAAGTGTGCAGTTTGGACTATGGTATTTGATCAAGAACCAATTTTTAGGAATTTTTATAAATAGAATTTTATTTTAGAATTCAAAAAAATTATAAGAGAATGTTGAGTGCCTATGTAATTGATTTCTTTCAAATTGCATGATGTTTATATATAATGTAATAGATTTTAAATTCTATAAATATAATTTTTTTATGTGATATTATTCTCTTGCTATTGTTCAACGATTATATTTTTTACCATAATAAATATTAACAATAAAGAAACAAATAATTGAAAATCAAACCACTTTATTTGATACTTTCTAACCTTATTTGACGGTTATTAATAAAGAACCATCAAATAAGGTGATCTTATTTTGACAGCTATCAACAAAATTTGATAGTTCTTTGTTGATAGCTGTCAAAATAAGATCACAATATTTGATGGTTATTAATAAACATCCATCAAATATTTACTTTGAGAATATTTGATGCCCTTTTACTTGACTGTTCTAAATTGTCAAATATAGACAAAAATAACTGTTGAATATTCTTAATTTTGTAGCAATAATATTTAAAATGGTGAAGTGAAGAGTGAAAGCATAATTTGCTTTATTAGCATTATTGTTATTAATGAAAATACAATGCTATAAAAAATTAATGAAAATAAAATATTCTCCGCTACTTTCATAATTATGTAGGAAAAAAGTAACAAATCATAAAAGAATATTTTTATTTTTGTTTTTTTAATAAATTTTAACACATTTTTCGAACATATGTTTTAATTTTTTTGAAATAGGAACTATTTTGAAAATAGAAATCAAACCGCACTGCAAATTTTTCTTTTTTTTTCCACCTGAAAATTACAATTACTAACAATTCATCAGCAACGGACTCACTTCCGTTCCTTCTCCATACTAACCCCAGGCTCGCGGCATCGGTGGGATCCAGAGGTTGACGAGACCAAGGGCTGCTCATTTTAGTGCCATCTATGCTATCTGATTTTCCATGAAACTTGAAGGATCCTCATTACAATGGGGGCCAGATCGCTGAAGAGGAGGCCTATCAAGCAGCATAACCTTGAACCTCAGACTTCCATGGCTTCTTCGCGGCGTAAGATTGTTTCTCATAGAAAGATCTCTGTGCTTCTTTTGGCTTCTCTAACCATTGCTGTCATTGGTCTCTACGTCATTTGGCCGAACAGTTGGCACAACTTTGAATCTGGTCTATCGTATGAGATGGTTAGTGTGGTCAACGAATTTCCTCACGACTCTGACGCCTTCACTCAGGTAATGTTGATCTTCGGCATCTTAATTTTATTGGTAATGTGCTTAAGATTTTCCCGATTGATTGAACTCAATTGTCGAGCAATTTTTTTTTTTTTTGGGTGAATTCATAGTTGTGTTGTCTGCGGCCAATCTTCTATTTATGTAATTGCTTTCCGGGCATGTTCTGTTTAATGGTTCTTCTCCCACAAAGAACTTGACGCACCCCAGATTTTGGGGTTCATGAATGCCTTACCGCTTGAATCACTTAGTTCTCTTACTGATATTTTATTGCTGATGAATTTTTAAAACACTTTAATTGATTTTGTTCTGGATGATTTGAAGCGCATCCTTTGGGAAGCTCTTACAAATATCTGCTTCTTTGGGAAGTTAAATTGATCGCGTGTTTTATTCGATCCTTCTTTCATATCAGTTTTCAACATACACCTTAACACCTTGTTATTCATGCATTTCATAATACAAGGTAGAGGCTGTAGTTTACTCGTCCTTTGAGTTTAAGAAGTATCTTGCAATCATTATAATTAAAGGCATGAAAATCGATAAATGGTATTATTCTATTTGTTGCTCATGGGAGAGGGAAATTTTATCCTCTTCTTATTTGCTTTCAGGGCCTTCTTTATGCTGAAAATGATACCTTGTTTGAGTCGACTGGTCTTTATGGGAAGGTAACGTTGCCCTGTATTTGCTCTCTCTTGTCACTTTTCTTGCTTCCTCCCCCCTTCTTTACCCTCTTTCTCCTTCCTCTTCTGCTTCTTTCATTCTTGTCGGCCTGTTATCTTACCATCTTACCATGTACCTTTGGAAGGATTTCGTGATCTTGGCAATAAATTATGCATTTGCATCTTCCATATTCATTCATTCAGAAGCGTTTGGAGGATTTAGTTTGTATGGTTAAAGTTGCTTTAGGTGAAATTGAATTTTTTTATCACCTTCCAATCATTAGGAGCTATAATACAGTTATATTTCAGCGGGGTCGCTGTCCATTTGAATTTGGTTAGGAGACAATCTCAAAGAATCCACTGAAAAAATTATTTGACGACATAATGTCTCTTTAGCTTGGGTTATTTGTTATTGGTTACATGAGCTTCAAGTATTAGCAGCTGTTTGAATTTATTATTGTCTTGCTACAAGTTTTTGTGTAACATGCTCTATGAGTAAGTGGTAATTCAATTCTGGATTGTGAGGATCCGGTGTGATGCTTTCTCAATTGTGGTAATAACTAAAAGAAGGCCAGACTGTTTTGAACTTGCTATAATGTGTCAATCGTAAGTGAGTACAACATTTGATCCTTTGGTTTTATTCTTATGTTTTCGTTGATTGGATGCATTATTTTTATATGAAAATTATCACAAAACTTTAATTTTTTGTCGTTGCAGTCATCTGTCCGGAAAGTTACTCTTCATACTGGGCAGGTACAGAAAGCTGGTTTTTGAAGTTTTCTATGTGCCTTTCTATAAACTCAGTTCTGTTTCAATATGCACAGTTTTGTTGTATATACATTTGGCATGCCAGTCATGTTTGATTGAATGTTGGGCCATAAGGCCCACAATGGACAGCAAGCACTAAGTTTGGTTGACTTGACTGACTTGATCCTAATGAGCTATTAGTTTGGAAATTCTATTATAATATAACAGCATTAAATTTTATATCTTCTTTTGGTTAAATTTCATATCTCTATTGATTTAATTATTTGCTACATACAGGTTGAGGTTCTTCAAAAGATGGATGACTCTTTGTTTGGGGAAGGCTTAACTCTTATTGGTAAAAGGTGTGTGAGGCAAAGTGTTAGAATCTTTTTTTTCTTACTGATTTAGTAAATTTGTCACTCAAATTGAGCTCCTTTTATCAAAAAGTGAAACAACGTGATCATATTGAAGGGGAATATTATATTAGAGGTATGATATAATATAGTTATGTCTATTAGATATGCAAAAGGTATGGGTGGCTCTGTCGCATGATTAATGATAATGTAGAAGATATTGGCCATGAAACTTGAATTTATTCAATAGCTAGAAGCAATATTTAAAGGCACTTACCCTAGGTTATAATCTCTTACTAGCATTGGCCAGATTACATAATCAGAGGGAAATAAATCAAATAATTCAAAGCATAATCAAATTGGAATCAAAATCGCACAATCTAAGGAGATAACAAAAGCTGATACTATCTAATAATATTTAAAACGAAGAAAGCTTAATTACGGGCCCAAGCCCATGACGTTTCAACACTACACCTCAGGTTGGCGAATATGATGTCAATCATACCTAGCCTGCCTCTGAATTCCTTGAAAAGAGGTGTTGCTAATGGTTTGGTGAGCAAACGAGCAATCTGACAATGTGATGAGACCTGTGATATTTCAATAATCCCTGAATCTTTCTTTTCCTTGATAAAGTGCTTATTAGTGTCAACATGCTTGGTTCATTCATGATGAATGGGATTTCTAACCATCCCAATTGCTGACAAGCTATCACATCTTAATCATATGGTTGTGTTAGGTGTCATCCCTAACTCTTTTAGCACTCTGGGTATGTACAACTCTTCACTTAGTTTTGCTTCTGCACTGCTTCTAGAGATTACTGTCTGCTTTTTGCTTCATGTGACTAGATTTCCCTACACCATAGTACAATAACTTGATGTGGATCTTCTATCATGTAGGATTTTAGGGTAGAATTAAGGTATTCAGTGCCATTGTCACTCCGCAAGACTTTTACTGAGGTATTGAATTGATTTTGAATCATTTTGTGGAAGGTTTGAAGGTTTTGTGTCAGATTAGACTTGGCTTTTAACAAATATACCCAAGTTACCCATGTGTGATTGTCAATGAACGTGACAAATCATCTTGTGTGGGTGAGATGTGTGACATGTGAGGGTTCCCAGCGTATTAGATCAAAAGGTTGAGAGGCATGGTGAGTTTGTGCATGATATGTATGTGTTGTATGCTTTGATAACTAGCAGATCTCACAAGGAATGGAAAAAGAACTAGAATTTTTATTCATCAAACTTGGAAACAATTTTGCCATAGATTTGTAGCTTGGATGGCCTAAACGATAATGTAACAATAAAATTCCATCATTCTGAATAGAAACATAAGAAGCAGCCACTAAGTTTCCTCCTAGAGATGCTTTATCCAGCCATGGTTGATCGGCCACATAGTATAAATCCTCTAGTAACTTAGCTACACTAATCCTCTTCCCTAACTCTAGGTCTTGAAACGAACAGTAAGAGGCAAAAATATTTATGTTACAAAAATGAGCCAAGGTAGCCTTGCTAACTAATACTACTTTCGATCCTATTTATAAGAGCTAGTTGACTAATTTGAGGAGATTAAGAAAAGAAGTTGAGTTAGTTATTAGCAATAAATAGGTATTGTCTTTCCTAAATATCCTTACTAATCAAGTGTATTGGTTAGAACTATTATTATTAGAAAGACTATATTGGGAAAAAATGTATAAATATGAGAGACAAAGTGGATTGAAGTCTTATATTTAGGACTAAAATAAAAGTCAAATAAGGTTTTATATTAATGACCGGAGGTAGTATGAGATTGCACTTTAAATCAGGTGCATATAAAATATTTTCCAGAATTAAATTGCCAAATAAACATAATTCAACAATGCCATGTACTTTGACAAATTCCCCATCAACAACTGTGATAAACATGGGATAAGGACAGGGTTTTATATTTTGAACAAAATTAATATCACTGGACATGTGATCAATGGCGCCTAAATAAACAATCCACATATTATCTTGATGCACATTAGCTTTAAGGGCTAAGATAGCTTTACCTGTGAATGCCACATAACTAGTAGCTACCAGGGCCTCTTGGGTATTGTTATGTTGTGGTTATTAGAGTTAGATTTAATTGAGAGAATTGATTAGTTAGAAAAGGTTATTAGTGTAAATAGATGATATTATTGAATGTATAGGGGTCTTGTGAAAATATAGTTTCCTATTACTTTCGCTGATCTAAGCCTAACAATTGCATCAGAGCCAGTCTTTTGCCCATTGTTATTGAGTTAGCTGTGCTGAAGCATGTCTACACGATAAAGGATTATGCAAAACAATTTGAAGCACTTTTATGATTTACGCATCTGCTACAGTCCACCACCATCAAAGTATTCATTAATGGCCTTTAGTCGAAGATTCAACATACGGTTTGATGCTTTGGTCTAAGCAGCCTTCCCTCGGCCATTTGTCTTGCTGACATTTATGAAACTGACAGAAAACATGTCTGCTAGAGGACACAAATGAGCAAATGCAAGAAACTGATTCAAACAAGAACAGAATTGCTGAAAGTGACGATGTTGCTAAAAATGATGCGGAAGACCAGAAACAGAACATAAATCCAACGTAGAAGTAATGGCGCAATTGAAGAACTTCGATGAAGATGAAAAAGAAAAAATGTGACAGAATCTTGGATTACTATGAAGATGAAGAAGAAAAAGGTGAAAGAATCTTGGATCACCCAGCTAAGGATTCAGGATGGAAGGAACTAGAATCATGCTTGGAATCGATTCAAGCGTTACACAAGAACAAACTTACTTGAGAACACAAGCTTTCTTTGTCGTTGATGTTTATTAGCTGTAAGATGAACTTGCAGAACCATAAGACGCCTCCACTACTCTTTGTTCATAAGTCCTTGCCAACACGTTCATCATTTGCGACTTCATCCTCTGACTATTGGCCGTCGTTATTCACCTGCCACCCTAAAGAGTATGAATTGTTTCAGGCCATCATTGTTATTGAGTCCAAAAATAGGCCCGCTTTCAGAGCTACTCAAGCTGCTGGCTCAACCCAAGTTGCAAGAGCCACTCCCTATGTTCTCCATGAATGCCTCTCACAAGTTGCTGGTCACTAGGCTTCAAATAAGCCAATATTTGAATTTGGCTTTGAATCTTAAATCATAGCTCACAAGTCATAGGTCATGGAATTTTCTTCATCAATCACAGATTTACTCATATTACAGTGTAAACCAGATGGCATAGGTTAATAGTCAAATTCCTAGGCAATTTGGAGAAAACATTGTCCACTCTTCAGTGATTGCACATCTCTTATTCTATAGCATGCAACAGAATTTCCAAAATTTAGACTCTTCTTTTTTCATGTTTGTTGCCTTTCTTCTAGCTGTGAATTTAAGCCACCATTTGCTTCAAGTGGGGACAAAAATCCATCCTCCCTTTCATTCTTTCTTCAAGGGTGCTTCACACTAAATTTCCATTTTTGGCTCGGGATGGAGACTTCACATGGCACCGTTGGAAGCTTCAAGCCACTATCTTGGTTAGCATGGAACAGCCAGAGGGTAATAGAAGAAGAATTAATAGTTGGAACCGTCATAGTAACAAGGTTGACTTGGTGCTGCTTTGTCTTCAATGAGGATTTATACATCAAGCCTAAATTTTCCTCCATGTTTTTGAGTTCTAATGCTCATATGGTGGCAATACAGCAATTTTACATTGATATGGTCAAGCACGCAAATAGGCGGGGTGTTTGAAGCTCTGCATTTTCTTTGACTGGTGTCACTGCATTTTCTTCGACTCTCCGGTCTCACATGCAAAGTATCTCTTTGGTGTTCTTAGGCATTGTGTTGGTACTGCTGTCTAACTATTTCCCATTAAGGATGAGGAGTGCCTCATTTCGGACTATAAGCACCTTTATGGATTTAAAGGAGCTGAGCATATTTGGGGTATGGAAATAGGCCTCTCCTTGATTTAGTGTTCATGGGCTTTTGACATTGGATAGTATATAATGCATTAGAGGCGGCCTTGTGGCATCAATAGATTTTGAAGACTTTTTCTTTGTTTTTTTTTTTTTAGGGCACCTCTTAATGTCCTAAGTTCCAACTATTATTTTACAATCTTGAATGTATTTTCTTTTTAACAATTGTATTAATCCTTGAGGACGAGGATTTTTTTTTTTTTTTTAAGGGCGGGTGTATTTGTTACATGGTGGTTTTTAGAGTTAGAGCTAGTTAAGAGGATTGATTAGTTAGAGAAGGTTATTAGTATAAGTAAACAATATTAGTTAATGTATGGGGGTCTTGTGAAAATAAAGTACAGTTCCTATTACTTTCCTTGTTGTTCTACGCCTAACAAGTATCTTGTTTGTTTAAAAGTTTGCTTAGAAACTCTATGTCTTCCTTACTCGTCATCAACTTCTAATTTAGACCCTTTTTTGGTAGCAAATGCTCTGCCATCTTTGCTTCCCATTCCTTTGTTGTTTGGAGGCTTGCCATGGATTTTCCAATATACATCTTTGGTGTGGCCTGCCTTCTGATAGTGTTCACACCATTTATTGCTTTTCTTACCATTGTTGTTATTTGGTTGCCCTCTTGTTAAATAAAAGACACCAGCTTCTACGTCACCGAGTTTTGTTGCTTGGGGGCCGAGAGCTCTAATCTACTCTCCTATTGTTTGATGATGAAGAAGACTTAACGCAAAATCAGGAGTGTGTCTTGTCCCATAATGCATCCTCGTGTCACGTCATACCTAGAATCAAGGCCGAGCAGGAATTTATAGATTTTTTTCCTCCTCTTATTTTGGCATACAGCAGAGCATTAGTGGTACAAGACCACTCAAGCGCTTCACATCAGTCTAGCTGTTGCCATAGAATAAGCAAGTTAGTCCAGTATTTAGTAACTAAAAGATTACCTTTCTCAAGGTTGTCAAGATTGGTTTTGATCTCAAGAATTGCTACTTTATTCTTGATCAAAGCAAACATGTCACGCACGGCATCCCAAACCTCTTTGGCTGATTAAAACAAGGAAAATCTTATGCTAATTTCTGGTGTCATTGAGTTTAAGAGCCAACACTAGAGCATTGAATTCTCGTCTTCCCATTCTCCATATGATGAATCAGTAAGTGTAGGTCCAGGCTTTTTTCCAGTTGGATAATCAAGTTTACCTTTTCTGGTCATGTATAACCTCATGCCGATAGACCACTATAGGTAGTTTTGGTCGTTGAGTCTGTGATCCGTAATTGCAGTGGACTGGGTATCGATCGGGACCTGATGGCTTATCCTTGGATTCCTGGCTGCAGTGGCCTTGTGCGTTGAGGAGGAAGAACCACCCTAGCCTGGTGTATCCAATCCGAAACTAAATCAGATCATGGTGATCAGCGATGCTTTGATACATGTAGAAGATGTTGCCCATGAAACTTGAATTTTTATTTAATAGCTAGAAGCAATATTTAAAGGCACTTATCCTAGGTGAAAATCTCTCACTAGGATCGGCCATATTACATAATCAAAGGGAAATAAATCAAATATTTCAAAGCACAATCAAATCAGAATCAAACTCGCACTATCTAAGGAGATAACAAAAGCTGATACTATCTAATAATATTTAAAACTAAGAAAGCTTAATTATGGGCCCAGGCTCATGACGTCTTCAACAGATAATTTTTTTAAAGTTCTTGATATATGACCCTCTCTTAGGAGGATACTCTTTCACCCTCATTCTCATCGTCTCTTTTATAAAAAAATGCTAGATGTTAGGAAAAATAATGGAAAATACCTCATGTTTCTCTTCTTGATTTCATTTTCCTTGTTAAAGGGAAGGGCACTTCTTGTTCATTGATCATGTATTCTTTCCTCTTCATTGTCCAGTATTATTTCTTGAAATAATTATGAAGAAAATGCTATAGAAATTCTTCATACACTTAGAAACTGCTACATTTTTGGCACCCCATGATGAGTGATCTATGCATGGAGGACAAAAAAGAATGATGCTAAAACACATTCTTTTATTCTCGTCCAATTGCGAATCTCTAGGTTTACTTCTGATCATCTTTCAGTTTGTGTTGGCTCTAAAGTTGATAGGCACTCCTTTTGAGACATCAGCTCTTTACCAATGTTTACTGCTTGAGATGATTCAGTGATTCGTTCTTCAGGCTGTTTCGCAATCCATTTCTTCTGAATGTCTAAGATTATATTGTTACCTGCATATCTTTACAGAATTATTGTTTCTTTTTTTTTAATTTTACCCTTACACATGGTAATAGTGTTAAATTGAATAAAATAATTCTTTTTGTAGGCTGTACCAAGTGACCTGGTTGCAGACAACTGGTTTCATATATGATCGGGATAATTTAAGCAAAGTTTGTGGTTTACCTTGCCCCTCTTGTAATTTTCTTTCTTTTATGTAGTTTTTGGGGAGCTCTTTATGATCTGAATCTAATAGACACTGTAAAAAAGGGAACTGCTTGTTATTTGGATATTCTCTTTGGAGTATTGGACTTAATTTTTAGAATGTATTATTAATTTGTAATGACAGAAAACCATTTTTTAACTATATTTGCTCCCTTTTTATTGCCAATAATATTCAAACCTGAAGCTTGAAAGTTGAAAGATTTTTCAGATGGTAATATAAGTAATATTAGTTGAAAATATCTGTAATATAATCTGAGGCAGAAAGATCATACCTTGAATTGTGCCTTTTTATTAATTAAAAATTTATATTATTTTTCTTTACAATTTAGGAGGAGAATATCACCTTGGTAGTGTATGTTAGATTCAGCTAACATGGTTTCTACTAGTGACGAAAGGCTTATGTAGTTACATTAGGTTGTCAGTTGATGGGAGTTTAATTTAGATGCAATCTGTATAAAATTTTTTGAGTAATGTCTTTATGAATTTTATTACACTTTGGGTTATGGACTTTTTCCTGCAAAATTGAATTACCAATCTCTTATTCTTTGTTCTTAAATTTTTTTGCGATGTTTTACAAGGATGGCTAGATTTCAAATTGCCATTTGATATTGGTAGTAAAATTTCATACAATGCTTTCCCCCCCTTATTTTTCTGTAGTTACAGCAATTCATTCATGAGATGAAAGATGGTTGGGGTCTGGCGACTGATGGAAAAGTCTTGTATGGAAGTGATGGCAGTTCAACATTGTATCATATCGATCCTCATACATTTAAAGGTCCCCCTCCCCCTCCTACACACACACACACAAAACACACAAGACACAAATGCCTTTTCTTGTTGCACTTTGTGGAAACAAAAGCAATGCTTATATATTCTAGTTTCAGTGCCATGTATATTGGTGTAAGATTGTGCACGCGCATGTCTACAAATCTATATACAGCTTTAAAGTTCACGGCTTGTTGCTACTTCAATAAGTTTATTATTGCTTTATTTTTTCACTGGAATTTTTTTGCTCTTACTTTTGCAGTTATATCTAAACAAGTTGTCCACTTCAAAGGCCATCAAGTACACAATCTCAATGAATTGGAGTTTATAAATGGTGAAATTTGGGCCAATGTATATATGGTATGCCCATGATTTTATTCACAGAAAATAATGTATTTTTCTGCTCATCTTCAAAATACCAATAGATATGTTATCCATGGCCCAGTATTGTTGTTTCTTGATGGACTTGTCAACATCGATATGTTTTAATTTGTAGACTGATTGCATAGCAAAAATCTCTCCTAAGGATGGAAGTGTTCTTGGATGGATTCTCCTCCCAAATTTGAGGTCTTTTTTTCCTTATTTCTTGTATAAATCGATTCTTTTAAGCATATGCATGTTGCTTATCTTAATGACTTACGTGGGTGACGGTTCATCTGTTTCTCATAGCTGCTTTTTACCTATTCTATGCAGGCAAGAATTGATTGCAGCTGGGAATAATGCAAGTAACCTGAGCCCTTTTATCTCCTTGAATTGGGATTTTGTTCTGTACCATAGTATATTCATATTGTATTCTGATAGCCTGTGTCAAAAGTTAGATTAAAGTAAAAACTTTAAAAGGCAAACCGATGTTACACTTTTGTTTTGGCTATCTTATCATCATTACACTAATATTTGGCATATTGTAGGGTATTGATGTTTTGAATGGCATAGCATGGGATAGTGAACAAAAGAGAGTTTTTGGTAAGCTCGAACTTGTTCTTGTTTTATTTCTAATAGAGGTACATTGGAAGTCATGCATGGTTCTACTTAGAAACTGGCACAAACATTTTTATTATGATATTTAACTAGTGGAATGAGAATATATGGTATGTTCATCCATCCTAAAATTCAATTTTTATTTATCTGTTACATGTGATGTCTATAATTCGGAAGGGAAGTGAAAGGGTAGTATGAGTAACTGTGGGAAGGCTGCATGATTTTACTATTTATTTATGCCTTTAAAATGTCAAAATATCATGCATAAAAACAATGATTCATCAAATTATTAAGGAGGAAACAAAAAAATTCATCCAATAATTTGTGTATTGCTGTTTTTTGTAGTTTTTGCTCCTAGAATTTTTTCTGAGGAGTCAATTGCACAGCCCTTGTACTCTTTTTGGGTGATTTTAACCTCTTCCTGTTTTGATGCTTTTTTCTTTTTGTGTATTGACCTTAATTGCAGTTACCGGGAAACTATGGCCGAAGCTTTATGAAGTCAAGCTTCTTCCCGTAAAGAGATCATTCGAGGAGGGGGTTATTGAGCAGCTTTGCATGCGCAAGCCTTTCAGGTTTACAACTTAGCTGTACGTACACACTACTTGTAAGTAAATTCTTTGGAAGACTGGGCAGCGAAACTCATCTTTGGAAGTGGTATTAAATAGGGAAGCTAATGAGTGCGTCAATTGGCTTGCCAAAGCAGCCCATGGTCTCGAGAGGTTAGTGGAGGTAGATAACCATAGCAGCCAGAGTGCTCTGCTTTTGTTTGCTATTGTAAGTCCCAAACCCCCCCCCCCCAAAAAAAAAAACAAAAGGAAAAAGCCTTTCATTCGGGGGAAAAAGATAGTAATGGTATTGTAACACGGCAACCTCGAAAACATCATCTAGTAATGGAGATTGCATGCAGCCTCACGAGTGTCTTTTGGTACTGAGAACGATTTTTCCATTTAGAATTAATCACATTAGCTTGTGTTAAATTTCAGTGAAATTACTCCAATTTCCTTTCTTTGTTCAAACAACGCACCTTAGTCTTGTTTAGATTTTTTTTGGGGCTAAAATATCCTCCATAAATTAAGAGATGTTTGAGTGGTTAATGAAGGATATTTTAGTCAAACTATGTAAGACTAGATTAGAAGTTAGGGTATGGAGATTTAAATGCAATTAAGAATTGAGAGAATGTTGGTATAAACTCAACAAAATTTGACAAGCCTTTGTAACTTGCCGTTTCATTTATTAGGTGAATTGTGACGAGGAATTAGATCACAGGTAAGAAATAGTAAAAGCTTCCATTTTTAAGGTTCTGTGGCTAACTTTATCACTAGGATTTCGATTCATTCATTTGACATAATGGCCAATTAAGGATTCTTAATGGCTGTGGAAGTAATATGGATCATTTGTAGGGTTTGCTTTTTTAAGAAATAGGTTTTTCCTTGCCTCTGTTGTTCTTTTTCCTTTTTTTTTTTTGTGGCAACTATTTGTCATTCGGTACCATCGAATATTCTAAATTCGACTATTATGGCGTCCCAAATGGAGTTCAGCCCTTCTTAGAACCGGAGATTTGGCATGAGGCGCATTGTATTTCTTCTACTCAGCTATTGTTGATTAGTCTGTTGTTTTAGATAACTAATCAAGTCGTTTTCAGTTTTCCATTCAAGTCAGTTCAAGAAAGCCGAACGACATCACTTTTAGATATGTTATACTTACGAATCATACTTATACTTGCACATTTTCACATCCTTCTCGTCAATTAAAATTTCAAATAGAGTTTTTTTACCAAATTTCCCAAGTAAGAAAGGTATGCCAATGTTTTTTTTTTTTTTTTACCAAGAGATGTGCCAATGGTTGACAATAAGTTAAAACAATATGTACGAGTTTTGTTATCAAACTAACGTGGATTGCTACGAATCATTAAACGTTGTACATGTTATGCAGGGACGGAGCCAGTTTGCATAGTCAGTCAGTTAGTGGGGACGAGCAGAATTCTTCTTTTTTTTTTAAATAAAAAATAAAAACTGAATAACATTACTAAGCAAAAGCAAGAACGATACAAAGGCTACCCTTGGTCAATATCCATACATACAAAACATATTAAAATATTATTAATTTAATTTTTTAAATATTTCAATTTTGTTAATAATTTCATAAATTAAAAAATTTACGTTATTTCAGTGATGATGTTATATATAACAAAAATAGTTCAATAAACTAACTAATAATATATTTTTATGTCTATCTAAATATTTTAACATAATACTTTACTCTGCCTTAAATCTAGGAGTTAAATAATTAATTTCAAAATACTGAAAAAATTAGTTTAAGTTATTTATTTAAGGAAAATGTAATTAATAAAATGTCCTTTTTAATCATTTGCATTAGATACCACTCTTAATATGTGCAATGGATAAAGAGAATTTAGACAGAAAATTATAAATTTGAGACTCAAAATATATTGAGGTGTTGTTCCATTTAGAAATACAATAAAACTCTTCATTAATTCTGACACTTAAGACCGAAGAAGCATATATGTGGTTACCCCAAAAAAGGGGGGAAAAAAAAACAAGAAGCTATGTATGCATGTAGATATATGTAGAATCTTTTTTTTTGTTTTCTCTCAAAATCTTTTCTCCACCCTTAGATCAAAATATGGATGGTTCAAACGTAATATTTTATAAAATATTATTATAATATTACTAAAAAAATAAATAAATAAATTTAAACCATTAAAATTTAATTTGGACAAAGTATACCTATAGTGCAAAAAATTAATTTATAAAAATTTTAATTAAAATTTTATAAAATATTACCTCTAAACCATCCATTATTTTGATATTTTGATCTGAGGGCGGAGAAAGTGGATTCTGAAAGAGTCCAAATCTGTATATTTGAATATCTGCGCGCGGGGGGACCCTAACAGTAGCGTGGGTCGGTCCCACTGTTAAGGTTGGCGAATTATGTTCTCTGCCGCAACTTCTCGAAAAATAAAAGTTTCGTGGGTTATAATTTTTTGGAGTGGTGGATGCGCTGTAATTTTATGGGGGCACAACGTGTTCAATTTGTGCCTCACAATTGAACCTACAAATTTGGGCCATACTTTTTCGTCACATTCATTTCAAATTCTTTGTTCAACTTGCTGTATGGCCTGCATCGATGTGTCCGTGCATCAATTGTTGCCCAGGTTTTTGTTTTAATGTGTCGATGAAGTCGTACATTGGGTGGGCGTTTGTCCGCCTCTGACCCTTCATTTTAGATAACTATGTGGATCTCTACGTACCAAACATAAATAATGAGTCGCCTTATTTACAAATTATGAATAATACATTCATTATACTTCTTTTATTTTTTTTATAAGATATAAATAATCAAATTATAGAGATTAAAAAAATTAATTAAAAATAATGGACATGTGAAACGTATTTGGGTTAATGTAATTTTTTGTCTTTGAAATTTGAATTCATTTTTGTTTTAACCTCTCAAATTTCAAACTAATAGTTTTAATTTATCAAATTTAGGTCGTCCTAAAATATTAGTAACTAGAAGTGCGATAGTGTTAAAATTTGTTGAAGTATCGTAAATGACACCAAAATGGTGATGTGGACTCACCATTTAACATATAACTAGCTATTGTGTGAATAACAAGAAAAAGAAAACAATAGGTTCTCAAAATACAATATAGAGAATGACTATACAGAAGGGATGAGTTCTCAAAATGTAGCATAGTGAATAGCTCATAAAACGATTAACAAAAAAGAAAAAGTCGGGGGATAAACAATTACATTTGAAAATCTATTCTTCTTTTTTCCTTCTATTATCCATATAAAATCCAGCTAGATGCCATCTAGTGAGTTCACAATACTATTTTAAGTTTTTAATGATGTTTATAATATTTTAGTAGATTTTAACACCATTACACCTCCTTAGACTAATGCTTTAAGGCAAAATAAATTCCAAAGACTACAATTATAGGTTCGAAATTTGAGGGACATCTATCTATTTAAAAAAATTGAGGGACCAAAATCAAAATAATCAAAATAAAGTTCAAATTTCATATTCCAAAAATTATGTTAACTTTAGTGAGAGTACTCTTGTCTCTTAGATTTATTTTTATATGCTCTTCTGGTCTTAAATACTCCTCCAGTCCTAAATATAAGACCCTTATACAAGTGTATATAAGACATATTTTGGAATGTAATTTACGCTAAGATATGGAATAACTGAGGGATAAAATTAAAATCAATATAAAATTAAAGGGTTAAATTGAAATAATTAATGTGTAAATATATCACATGAAAATAAATTTTTTCCAGTTTCACATATAAGAGAAATATTTTAGAGATGGCTTGATCAAATTGATAAGGGATACTAATAACTTATCTGTATCGTTTTTTATTTTTATCTCCATTAATTATTGTTTAATCATGTTATTTTTGTGTCCGAAGCTCCAGCAGATCACTGTCACTCAAGGGGAAGCGACTAGATCTTCGACTTACCTTGATGGGCAAATGCTAGCAACCGGTGATGGTTTAAATTTAAGAAAATAAAAAAGAAAAGAAAAGAGTAGGGGCTATTTTTTTAACCACAAAATTTATTTCATTTTAGTCTTTAAGTTGTAGTGAAATTTCATAATCTTTTGGGATACAGGGAAATTGTTAACACCAATATCACAACAGCCTAACAACCCCAAAACTCATCTTAGGCCCAATTGCCTGATTCAGTACATGGTCTTAGCTAGCACTAGTTTTCTAGATTGTTCTTCTCATAGCATGTGCTTTATTATTTGCTCACTCTCTTATTCTCCCTCAAGTGCCTATATAAGGAATAGTTCTTCACTGTACATAACACATGAAAATATGAAATACAAATATCATTGAGTTATTACTTTCTATTCTACTTTTGTGATTTTGAGGCTCAACTCTGATATGGTATCAAAGCAGAGTGCGCCTCCGCCACAATGAGTGAGTCACAACAGTCTTCTTCCACAACCACTCCCTCCTCTTCCAACCACCCCACCGTCTTCCCATCAAATGTCTCCCATTACCTCACTATCAAGCTCATGCTGGACAACTATCCTGTTGAGCATGTCCAAATGCTTCCCTACCTCTACAGACAACATCTATTCTACTATATTGATGGCTCCAATCCTCCATCACCCACCAAAATCCCTGATGGTTCCCCCAATCCAGCTTATCTAAAATGGTTTGAAATGGATCAACTAGTTGTTTCTCGTGCCATCTAGCTTGCTTTAGAGACCTCTTTTGCCTAACAATCTCAAGCGAAGGTGCTTCATCTCCAGCAACAGCTAACATCCCTTAAAAAGGGCGATGAAAGTATTTTAGAATACTATAACAAAGCCTTGATGCTTAGTGATTCTCTAGCTACCTCTGGTTGCCCTGTCACTGATTCTGCCTTCAACACATATCTTCTTGCTGGATTAGGCACCAACTATGACTCAATGGTCACTGTCTTAACCACTCTAAAAGCTCAGTTCACTCCTGAAGATGTTCTTAGCCATCTCCTTACCTCTAAAGCACGACAAAAACATGTGCTCGCCGACACCACTGCACCCATCCTTCCTTCCCCTGTTGCTAACGTTGTTGTTCAACAGAACTCATATCCCCAAACCCAAAGCAGATGTAGTGGTGGTGGTGGCGGCTTCTTCTCTCAAGGACGTGCTGGCCGATACTACCATAATAGTGATCGTTCCAACTTCAGAGATGGACGTCCAAACAAAGAAGGAGGACACTCCTTCCCACCTAAACAAGACAACCCTTGCCAAGTCTATAACAAACCTGGCCATATAGCTAAACATTGCTTTCACTTATATGATCATGCGTATCAAGTCCTTGGTCCTTCCAGCATCTCGACCCACTACTCTGGTTTTCCTCCCCAATCTGATGATACCCTCTGGTACCCTGACATAGGAGCCGCAAATCACATGACCTCACAACTGTTTAACCTCACTCTTGGTTCTACTCCTTATACTGGTTCTGA